GAAACTTAACTTCCCTGCCTTAATTTAAAAAAAAAATGTAAATCATATATCCAAAGACCTTAATAAATGCAGATGTCACCGAGAATTTGAGAAAGACAGTGGCAAGCATGAACAAGTTCATACTGACGATTAGACTCCCTCATGGTTGTGCCCACATTTTAATCCCAGCACTCAAGGCTTTAGGAGGAGGATCCAGAGTGTGCAGCCACCTTAGGCTACACAGCCAGTTCCAAAATGCAGAAAGACCCCACTGCAAGAAACTCTATACTGACAGGACTTAGTAGTTCCATAAAGAAATTATACATAGTAGGTGCTGGAGAGGTGGCTCTGTGGTGAAGAGAACTTGCTTTTTTAAAGGGCCAGGGTTAAATTCCTAGCACCTACATGGTGGCTCACAGCCATCTGTAACTCCCAGGCTCTCAGGTGGTGCACGTGTATACACATAAACCTCAAAAAAAAAAAAAAAAATTAAAGTAATTGTGCCCAGTAAACAGAAACGATGAAGGCATCTTTGCAGTCAGTGTTTAAAAAACAAAACTCTAACCAATTAAGAATGCTGCAATTAAAAAAAAAAAAAAGAATGCTGCAATTACTTTGTCACTCCAGTCAAAGGATCCAAACCATGCTAATGGCTGTCAGCAAATAAGATCCTGCAACTACTTGGGGAAGCAGTTATCTAATTAGTGGAGTTTAACAAAAACTGGTTCCTTGCTGGGTAGGCTCAGCATTCCCTTGGCAGAAAAAGGGAACAGATGTGTGATAGATGAATCTAGTAAGAACAAAATCCCCTCCACAAACCTGGCTGCAGTCTCCTGCACATCCTGGGCGCAGCAGAGCCAGCAGGAAAGCTGCTTACCAAGCTGGGGTGCTTTGAGCCTATCTCAGAATAATGAGGTTAGGTGGGGGTGCAGACACATCAGTGTCCTGTAAAGCTCCCAATGTAACCCTACCATACCCAAGAGACAGAACTTCTCCCTCTCACATAGAAATCTTGCACTTTTTTTTTTTTTTTTTTTTTTTTTTGTGGGAGGGTATGCCACAGCACACAAAGACAATCTTCAAATCAGGTCCTGGGGCCTTCGGGATGGCTCAGTGGGTAAAGGCCCTTGCTGACACCCCGGTGGTCTGAGTTAATCCCTAGGACCCTTATGGAGGAAGAGGAGCAACTCCCGGAAAGCTCTGACTTCACCATATAATGTACACATCTGTCTCTCAACCCTCCCCTCAACATTGGCTCCTGCTCAATGTTTTTTGGTAAATAAAAAATCGCGCAAGTTCTTATATCCAAGCATGGGTGACACTCTCCCTCCATCTCAGTGAGAGAATGGTCTCACTGGGATGGGGGAATACTGTTTTATGTTCTTAGAAGTCAGGAGACAGTCACTTCAGGTAACCCCAAGTGCTGGAACTGTGTGGTATTTTCTTCTTTTGCTTCCTTTTCCCAGTCTACCATATGAAATGTATACTGTGTAGCAACCATTAAAAGCAGATCCTCAGTTAAAAAATGATGAAAAAGCCAGCTCGATGGCACATGCCTGTAATCCTAGCACTCAGTAAGACAGAGGCAAGCGGATCTATGTGAGTTTAAGGCCAGACTAGTCTATAAAGTTCCAGGACAGCCAAGACTACGCAGAAGAACCCTGTCTAGAAACAAAACAAACCAACCAGAGGCAAATGGCCTTACCTACAGAACAGTAGGGCGACTACAATGTGTTCCGTTACACACATTATTACACTGATCTGATAATCACACACACACACACCAAATTATCACAATGTATCCCATGAATACATGAATATTTACAGTTATTATGTGTTGGGAAAAATTAAAATGTTATATAAATGAAAGTATTAATAATGAAGAAATGAAAACACATTTTCTGAGGAAAGAAAAAAAAAGAAAGATTTTTTGTTGTTGCTGTTGCTGTTTTTGTTTCATTTAAAGACAGGTTCTCACTATGTAGCTGGCCTGGAATTCACTCTGTAGACCAGCCTGGCCTTGAGATCCACTTAGAGATCCACTTACCTCTGCCTCCTGGAGCGCTGTAATCAGAAGTGTCTAGTTTTAACTGAAAGCTTGGGGAAAGAGGGTGTAGAAATGAGTGATAGAGCATTCCCCTAGCATGTCAAAATCCTGGCTCCAACCCTCAGCCCTCCCTCTCCAATCCCCAAACAAAACCTGCCCGCCTACAAGCTTTGTTGTTGTTCCTTGAGGCATAGGAACAACAACAACATGTATTCCAACAGTCCTGCTGACTACTTCCCTACCTCATCTAGTGTTTTCTCCCTGCAGTAGAGCCAGGCCCAGCCTGTGCGTGATAGACAAGTGCTCTACCACTAAGCTGGGAACACAGCCCCAACAACAGCTGCTTTCTAGATCAATCAAGAGTCACTTCAACAGATCTTCCAGTGGTACTGTTACTTGTGTTGTTATGACCTGTAATTGAGAGAACAACTTAAGGGAAGAAGGATCTTAGCTGCTGCTTTCGGGTTTAGTCTATCGTCCCTCTGGCCCCGCACTTGTGCAGACCTTGGTAGCCGGTGCGCCTTCATTCACACTGGCCAGGAAGCAGAGAGAAACAGGGCACCCAGCAGCAGCCAGGGCAGAACTAATCCAAGGTTATGCTTCCAGGGACCTCTCCATCCAACTCAGCCCCACCCTCCCAATGATGCCATCACGCTGCCAACCCACCAAGCTACTCATAAACTATGTGTTCCAGCGAGCCTCATGATCTCATTTCCTCTGGAAACGCCACTAGACACCAGATGTGCCTCACTAATCCTGGGGGGGGGGGCTTACACACTCAGATTAATGGGTACTTCTAAAAACAAAGCGCTAAGTAGGGCCTAGTCCTTCTTCTGAGCTAAGTAGGCTTAATAAGCTACAAAGTGGAACATGCAGGTTTGATACCTTCTCAGAGGAAAAAAACAAAATTATGTCAAACTACCCATTACAACTGTTAATAATAAAATAAAATTAATAAATTTTGGTGGTGCTGGGCATTGATCCCAAGACCACATGCATACTAGACAGAGGACCTACCACAGAGGTTTGTCCTCAACTCTATCAATAATTTTGGCTATCACCTATATCAGAAATTAGAGACAGAGTATCATCTAGTCTTTGCTATCTATAGTAATGCTGTTACTGTCACTAAAATTGATTTCTCAATGCACATTTATGTTAACTATAATGCATGCTCAGGAGTCCCTTGGCTTTAAGATAACCACACTAATTACACAAGGAAATCTGGACTCTAGTTGAGTAACCAAGCAACCTATTATCAAAAAATACAAGCGAGGGTGGCGTGGTGGTGCACACCTTCATCTGTGTTAGCGAGGCACGGATAGGCAGATCTTTGAGTCCAGGACCTGTGCTCCATGATGAGACCCCCTTACATTACTACTGTCTCCTCGTATTTGGGACTTTGCTCAAAGTAAAGATTGCAGTCTACTTCTCCAGTGATAAGCAGGGGTTATTTCCTATCACGGATGTCTAAAGTTCATCAAATTAAATAATGCCAACCAGATTCCCAAGGATCAGAGGCCAGGCAAAGGCCACTAGAGAATTTCCTCTTTGCTTGTAGTTGGCCCAGTCAACTAAGCAGCCAAAAGGGCTTTCACTGCTGCCATTGGACCCCATCTTTCCTAAGTGGCTAGAGAAATAGAACTATAATTTGCCTGCACACTTCTCAATAACTAGTGAGACACTCTTTTCAACTACCACTGTTATCCCTGTTCATTTGTTTTCTCTACCCCCTTCTGAGTTTTGTTTTAATAGAAGTGGTACTGGTGATAAACACTTGAGGCATATTAAAAATTGATTTAGGGATGACTGAAGTATAAAATCCAGTAATGTTTCAATACAGCTAGAAATTCTATAAAAATCTATCTTCTATTTAACAAATTTTAGTATCAGCGTATTAGTAACAATCCATCAGAAAGTTCACATTGCATGAATAAGAAAGTACATGGGCAAGAACCATGACATACTCTGACATGTGGCAACTTGCAGATTCTGTAATACAAGTGCAAGTTAAGTGAATAATAGCTATCTTCCATCAACACAGAAAAAAACTAGGTTTGATGTGAAGTACGGAACATCACCCAATTTCTCTTTCCTGTTGGGAAATTTCTACCATGAGCCAAAAGACACTGTCTTCATGAAGGGATGCAAAATCCCTTAGTGTTTCTCTAATACTGACTCCACGTGTAATGTTTTAAACTAATTTGCTGTTTCCTAAAAGGCTGTTTCTCTATATTCTTGCCTATCTTAAAAAAAAAAAAAAAAAAAAAAAAAGTCTAACAGGATACAAAAAACCTAATTTCTCAACACCTTAAAAGGAAATTTTTGGTTTTTTTTTTTTTTTTTTTTTTTTTTGAGACAGGGTTTCTCTGTATAGACCAGCCTGGGTTTGGGCTCAAGAGATCTGCCTGTCTCTGCCTCCTGAGTGCTGGAATTAACTGTGTGTCACCATGCCCGTGTTTGTTTTGTTTTATGCTTTTAATTCCATTATTGTGAAGAATACACTTCAGCAGACAGTACAAAGAGAGTAATAATTGGTTTAACTGGATTTAGCGCATATGGATAAAACCGTAATATTTATCCCCATTGAGATGGATCTCACTGCTTTTCTTTTCTTTGAACTATTGTATTATTGTTTCTATATATTCATGGTTTCATATGATTTAAGGGTTCAACCACAAGAAAGTCTTCCAACCCTGCTTCTCCGAATATAGAGCATAATTGCAGGCATCCTCCAAGCTATTAGTTACACACGTACACACACTTCTGTGACATCTTGTGCTGCCAAGGAATATCTGCCGTGATAGGAAAATGTTACCAACATAGTGTGAAAAAGGGAAAACTAAAGATGTAAGCAGTGTTTATCTTTCCTCCTTGCTTGTTTCTAACTCTGCAGTACAAAAATGCAGGGTAACTAAATGTTAATAGGAACAAGAAAAATTAATGCCTAGATTGCAATAATTTAACCAAACCCTACTATTTTTCTGGTATATTTAATTGCTGTTTGAAAAAGGTAGGAAAACCATTTATGATTATATTTTATTACATTTACTTATTTGTGTGGGAGGGAGGTACATAGAGGCCAGAAGACCACCTGTAGGCGCTCTTCCCTTCTAATGTGTAGGTCTCCGGGATCAAATTCAGGCTGTCAGGCCTGGTCACCAAGGCCTTTACCAATTGAACCATCTATCTCACCAGCACAACTATGATTACATTTTAATAAAAAATAGTAAAAGCCAAATTGCAGCCAATTGTTAAAGTTCTTCTTTAAAAAGATTATTTTTAATGGTCCAACAAAATCAGTTAGAAGCTTTCATCTGAACAGATGCTCCTGCAGCCTTTCCCACGAAATGCTCATAAAAAGTCTAAAACGTCGGATGAGACACCGAATGGGCCCTCTCTTTCATGCCTGTGCTTGTAATTCCCAAGTGCTCAACATATAGAATTTTCACTTCTGGGTAAGAGAAAAGGCATTCTGGTCCATCAGCTCCCCTACTCGCTCCTGGAGGACATTAACCAGCTCTGCGATGACAAAGACATGTGTGTCATCGATGTCCTGAATGATGAACTTCTTCCCCAAGGCATTGGACTCATCCAAGTACAGCAAGAACTGCTTCATGGCGGGATCGCTGCGGAGACAAACACAGGTTATAGGATATCCTGTGGCCAGCCACTGCAAAGGCCTGAGCAATTACATCTGAGAGTGAGTGATGAACTTTAAGGTGACCTTCAAAGTTTGCAACTATCATTCAATGTCTTGTTTTTTTCTCAGCCTAAAGTATTAATTATTTGTAGCTATGACTTAACATTAGGAGTTTGAACAACTTCAAGAGAAACCTTTTAAAGAACTCTCACTTACAAGAGGAGAAAAATAAAGGAATTCGAAGCTCTGCAGTTAACAGTGCCTAGAATCACAGATCCCTAATTGGTTTAAAAAGCAATGCCCATCCTCACTGACAAAGAGCATGGGGAAAAACAAAAGGGCTTAAGAGGCAATTCTAGAAGGCCTTGGGGCAGACAAAGCCAGGGGAAGGAAAGGGAGCCACAGGACAAGAAACCAGAACTCCTGCTTCTCAGGCTTATTTTCAATAATCGCTACTTGCTGAAGAAGTATGAATTTGCAAGTATTTTAAAAACTCAGTCTTAGATCTGTTTTTGTTTGTTTTGGGGGAAGAGGGAGCTGAGGACTGTATTGCATTAAGCACAAGCTGGCTCACTGAGTTGGACCTCTAGGACCTCAGCCTTATATTGTGGTATAAGATAAACCTTGGGAGGACCAAAAAAAGACCAAGTGGTGGCAGCACAGTCTTTAATCCCAGCATGTGGGAGGCAGAGGCAGGAGGATCTCTGTGAGTTCAAGGCCAGCCTGGTCTATAGAGTTCCAGGACAGCCAAGTAGACCTGTCTGGAAAAAAACAAACCAAACCAAAAAAGGATAAACCTTGGGAGGAAGGAATCTTAATACGACCAGATGCCTTGATATTTAAATCCACCAAAGGCAGACCTAAATGGCCATCATTGATAATCTGGCTTAACTGCTGTCCTGTGGGTTAAGTGAGAATTAAAATGCTATGGTTTGGATTAAGCTCCTGCACAGATGAGGTTAAAAATAAACTAAATCATTCACGCTTAGTTTCCAAGTCACTAAACTAGAATACTTTCTCTGACCTGCAGAGAAATCAGAATTGGTGATGTCCTGTTGAATACAGATACTAGGCTGTGAAGATATGGGGCTGGAGACATGGCTCAGTGGTTAAGAGCACTTGCTGCTCTTGCAGAGGACCCAGGTTCAGTTCCCAACACCCACACAGTGGCTTACAACCTGTTCCTAACTCAAGGGCCTGGCAATCCAATGCCCGCTTCTTATCTCCTCAGGCACCAGGCACCGATGTAGGTACACACTCATACACATAAAGACTAACACTTCACCTGTTTATTTCATTCCGCTCTTTAATGCAGTTACTAGGAAAATTAAAGACTATATGTGTGGCTACACTATTTCCGCTGGACAGTGCTGCTCCAAATGATGCAGGTTTCCCAGGGTTTGACTTTGCTCCTCCTCAGCTTTGCATCACAGTAAAAGCAGCACTACCTGTACAATGACTCATAATAGGCAACAGAAAGAAGAAAGTAGCATTTTCAACAAAGGGGAGTGTCCAGGGAACAGGACTTCTAACCAACTGAAAGCTGAACAAAGAGGTTTAAAAGTGAGTAACAGCAAAGCCCTACACTGAAGGTTCCTTTGAGTATCCGTCTCTCCTTCCGAAGCTATGCTAGAATTAAACCTGCTGCATTTGGCTCTCATCTCCTTTCAAGAAGCACTTTCTGTAGTGGCAAAGATTTAACCAAGTTCCTGTATTACTATTTTTTTTTTACACAGGATTTCACTATACAGCCTTGGAGGGGGTTGGGGATGGAACTGAAACTATGTAGACCAGGCTGGCCTTAAATGCCTAAAGATCCACCTGCATTTATCTCCTGAATGCTGAGACTAAAGGCCTGCCCCAAGTTCCCAAATTCTTCCAAACCTTAATCTAGACAAGTGCTGATGGTTTGAGAATAGACATACTGTTTCTCTAACCAAGGCTAATCTAACACACATACCTCCCATCAAAAATTGCCGGAAATAAAGCTAAGTGCATTAATTTAAGGGTGACAACGAAATGTAACAGCAGCAAAAAACTTAGCAAGTCTGCCCCACTTATAAAGGAAGTTTATGGAATTCAAAGTTGAATTCAAAGTTGAAGCCTCGATTTCATTTAAATCAACAAAACAAAACTTTGCAAAAGGCGTACACACATACACAAACACACACATATAAAACAAAAGCCAATGAGAAAATTTAAAACTCATTATTAAAACTACGAACCATTCAATAAGCACTCCTTTCAAGACGTTGACCATCTTTTCCCAGGCAGAAGGCACGGATGATTTCAAGAATGCTAAAATAAATAAATTAAATTTAAAAAGGATAAAGTGACAAAATCCAAAAGTTTAACCTACTTTGGCGATTTACACCTGAGATGAAATAAAACTAAACGTCAGTATTAAAAAGCTCATATTAAGGCATACAGGTATTCCCATTTCTTGCCAATGTTAAAGCAGATTGTCTGGAATAGTAATAAAGCATAAATCCTACTTGCAAACAGATTCTACTCATGGGTAATTAATCCTTAAAAAGTAAATTCCAATGGTTCCCGCTTTTAATCCCAACACTCGGGAGGCAGAGACTGGAGTTCGGGACCACTGAGCCCCAGACTCTTCTGAAATCCAGGAGAACGATACACAGGCAAGATCCCGAGAGGCAGAAATTACAAAAGGGTAGTTCCGAGAAGAGTCTCAAAATGACAGTGACCCACCACCTCACTTTACTGATGCGACCAAGCACCTGGCCAAAGCAGGTAATTTTAATTTACAAACATCTAGGTCTCCAGGTCTTCCGTTCTTTTGATTAATAAGCCACCCTCTCCAAAGATCTGCATTGGAAACTGCCTGAGACCAACCTAAAGATCCCTTTAGTGTCCACACCCAGGAGCGGCCACCTTCCCCACGCGATGCGCGACGGCCGCGCGGCCCCCACAGCACAGGCCTTCAGACGGGGGCGGGACTCGCACCCGCCACAGGACTCGTCGGCTCCGAGTCTTTTCTCCTCCTCTTCTCCTTATTTACAAGGCCGGCGAGCCCCCCGCCACCCACTTTCCCGAGCCGCTCACACCCTGCGGCGTCCCTCCGCCCACGAACCTAGGAACCGTCCTGGCGTCGTCGACCCACTGCGCCTGCGCCGTGCGTCATCAAGCCGGCGACACCTAGTAGGTGGGGCGACTCTGTAGGGGCGGGACGAGAGGGCGGGGCCAAGCGCTGGGGCGGGGTCACGTGCCTACTGCCCCTAGGCTAGAGCGCCGAGCGCTGGTGGCGGCTGAGGTGGGCTCTGCAGCTGGGAGAGGTCCGGGCTGCCAGAGTCCATGCACCATCAGGTAGGACGGGCGGACAGGCGGACGGGCAGGCGGGCGGGCAAGGGCGTCGCTGCAGCCGCGGGCAGGGAGGGCCGTGGCCCTGCACGGACTCGGCGCCCTGTAAGTTTGCGCGGCCTCCGAGGGACCTGGTGATCCGCCGCGGCACTTAGGGGCTGATTCTGGCCTTTTTCTTTAATGGTCGGTGCGCTTCCCTGGTTGCTCCTGAGGCTTGGAGGAGAGCACCTGCAAGCAGGCGCACCATCCTGGACTCCGTTCTCTAAGCCACACCTTAGTCCGACACACCTTAGACCAAGACATATCTTGGTCTTCTCTCCTGGGAGATTAAATAGTTGGAATGCTGATAGGTTTCTAAACCTAGTAACTTTCATCTTACGGTGAAGGCCTCCAGAAGGTTCTGAAGTTAATCCCATTCCCAAATTCTGATCTGTAGTCTTAAGGGAGCTATGGTCTCTGCTGTTGAGACAGGACGTGGTTGTACCTTCTTGATCCTGAGGTTAAATTACATTTCAACGTTAAGCTTATGCTGATTTTTTGCTTTTCACATGTCTTTTTCCTTTAACCAGTCTCGCCCTTCTACTTATTTCCCTTTCTTGGTTCCTCAAAAAAATTTTTTTAAAGAAATGTTTTGCGTTTATTTATGTATATAGTGTGTGGGTTGGTGATGGCATGAGTATGCCACAGTGCTCGAGTGAAGAGGTCAGAGGACAGTTTGAAGGAGTCGGTTCTCCTCCAACATGTGGATCCCTGAAATTGAACTCTGTTTATCAGGCTTAGCAGCAAGCAAACGGTATCTGCTGAGCCATCTTGCCAGCCCTGGTCCCTCAAACTTTTTCCTTTTGTTCTTTTCCACATCGGCTGTACCCCTACTTTTTAAAAGTTGCCCCAAGTTTAATCTTCCCACGCATCTTTACTTTGCTTATTTTCTTTTAGCCTATATTTTCCTCCTTGAAAAAAATCAGTCCTCCAGCTGGGTGGTGGTGGTGAAGGCCTTTAATCCCAACAGTCAGGTGGAATTCTGTGAGTTAGAGGCCAGCCTGATCTACAAAGGAGTTCTATAACAGCCAGGGCTGCTACACAGAGAAACCCTGTCTCGAAAATAAAAAACAATCAAAGGTAAAAAACAAAACAAGAAAGAAAAGAATCAGTTCTCTAGCTCTCAGCTGTCTTTTTCATGAATCTGCTCTTGAGCTGCAGTTTCTGGGCTGATGCCTGTATTTTAATGAACTGTGAGTAATCTGAACTCCACCTCTCAGGTGGAACTGGTTTTCATCTTTCACCCTCCCCTTAAAACCTGTTTTCTTTTCCCACTGATTGAACTCCTCTAGACATTTCTGAGCACCTGATGTGTACCAGACACTCTTCTAGATACTTGTGGTACAAAGGTAAATGTGTAATTAATTTTACTGGGAACAGAGAGGCTCTATAAATAGGTGAACAAGAAGGTACCAAGATGGGGATGTGATAAGGAGTAGAAGGCTTACTTTTGTTAGGAAGTATCAGCAATGGCTGTCAGGAAGACTTCGAAATTAAACTTCTGTATAGCAGCAATAATTAACCAGGAATTTTAGTAATAGAACCATCGTTCACGGTGGCATTCAGGACTAAAAATATCTAGAAATGCATCACACTAAAAATGTGGGATTCTTTAGGGAGAAAATTACTGTGCTACTGAAATTCATAGAGGGTCAGTAAATGGAGAGATATACAGTGTTTGTGGATGGAAAGACTCAGTAGCAAAACATGACCTTTTCCTCAATGCTGTAAACTCATTGCAGTGCCAATTAAGATAGTTGTGTTTTCTTCATGTAACTTGATATACTAAACCTGAAGTTTAGAGAGAAAGTCAAAAGACCCAGAATAACTATGTCAGCTTTGAAGAGGAAAATTAAATATGATTCTTCCTATGAGGTGTCAAAGCTTAATATGATATCCTTAATGAGACAGTGTGGTATTGGTTTAGGAATAGCAAATAAGTCCGTGGAACAGAATGACATGCTTAGAAACACTCGTGCATCTGTGATCTTAGTGGGTACAGGCTGCTCAATAAATGACAGAAGGAAAACAAAATTAGGTTATTTGGATCATACATAACAGAACTTACAGATAGATTGAAGGCCTAAATGTGACAAACAGCTCTCTAAGTCATTCAGGAAAAATACGTAGGCTACTGTTGTTTCTAGGAAATGTTTGTTTGTTTGCTGTTTGTATAATGTATGTGCTATTTACCTCTTTGGTACTTTTTAGGTGTGTAGTTCAATGGCATTCATTGCATGATCATCTCTGTTGTTCATGTCCATAACTTGTTTTCTTCAGTTCGGGATTTCTTAAGTCACAGGAAAAACCAGTGAGGTGACTCTTGCATCACTCCAAACTAGTAGTGGATGGTAACTTAAACAAGACAAGAGTGAGTGTGGAAAACAAAATTAATAGATCTGAGGTGTTTTGATGGCAGAAGATGGGAAGGGTGCACAGTTTAGATAGAGGTGAGGGGGAAAGGAAGGAACAGCAGTGTCTAAGGTTTTTGCAAGAGCTGCAAAGGTAGATTTTTTTTTTTTAATAGTCAGGATCCATTTACCATTTGGTTGATGGTGATGGATGCATGGAGGAAGAGTTTTAGAAGAAAAAATAGTTCTGTTTTGGACAGTTATGTTTGAGAAGCCTGTTGGGCCTGGTGCTGATATTCTATTGATGATGTAACAGTAGAGGTGAGGGGTCTGGAAAGACACAGCTCAGGACAGTTCAGTGTTACAGGCTGTGATAGAGCAGAAGTAGATTCCAGTGTAGTACACACACACACACACACACACACACACACACACACACACGGAACATCAAATGGCTTAAAATTTTTGACTACACTGGGCATGGAAAAGGAATCCTTTAATACCAACATTCAGGAGACAGAGGCAGGCAGATCTCTGTAAGTTCAAGACCTGATCTATGTGAAGGCTGCATAACTGGGACTTGGGGTTTTCCTCTTGCTGCTCTGCTGTCTTTAGCATATGCTGAATTGTCAATCTGCAACCTCTAATCCCCACTGTAACCTGCTCATTCTAGAAGGAGGGGGGGGTGAAAGACAAAGAAATATACATAGTCCCTAAGGACTCATTTCAGGTGTGACACAGGACAGAGTCACTCATAGGCCATCCTTAGTTGGCCGTTATTCACCCACATTCAAGTAGAGGGAAGAAAAGGTGTTAGTCCTTTTCCAGTTACCTGTGTGCCTGCTGCAGTTAGGGTTATTGATTAGTATGAAAGGCTGACGTGATGCTTCTTGCCAATCAGATTTGTTCCCCAGCCAAGACAAAGGTGCTATCCTCTAAGAGCCCCAGGCCCACCTTCATGTCACGTTTAGTGGAACTTTGAAGTGTTTCATTTTTGCACCGTCTCTCTCACTTCCTCTATCCTCAGTATCATCAGAGTCTCTCCCCTGGCTTCTCGTTAAAATGGTTGTTTCAGATTGAGTGTGACCACGGTAATAATCCCCAAAGCTCTTTTGAACAGATATCAACAAGGTGACTCTGAAGTCATGTGGAAGTGCCAAGGATCTAGACAAGCTCATCCTGAAAAGGAGGGGCAAGCCTGGGTGGTAACTGCAGCCCAGAATCCCATCATTCTAGAGGCTGAGGCAGGAGAATCACAAGTTGGAGGCCAGCCCGGGCTATATAGCAAGATCCTGTTTCAAAGAAAAAAAGAAGCTGGAGCCTTTACGTGACCTAGCCTCAGGACTTAGTGTAAAAATAATCTGCCATTGTTTTATAAAGCTAAACACATATCTTCATTGTGCTACTTATTTAAAGGTAGAAAAATCAGAAATATGTCTCTATTACATATGGTCAGTTGACTGTTGTACCTTATTTATTGGGGAAAAGAACATTGTTTCAACATTTTATTGGAACTATTGGGTCTCCATATAGAAAAAGTTCACTTATCATCAAAATATATAACAGTTTAACTGGGCAGCAGTTAAGATCACTAGCTGCTCTTCTGAAGGACCCGTGTTTATTTCCTAGGACCCACATGGTGGCTCACAGTCATCCATAGCTTAGGTTACCGTCTTCTGGCCTCCAAGGTCACTGCACACACACGTGGTACATATACACACATGCAGGCAAACACTCATACACATAAATCTGGAGAAAATTAAACTGGAGTGAGTGGATCATAGACGTAAACATAAAATACGAAACAAAATTGTCTTAGAATCCTAAGAAAAGGTGACATGATGTAGGTGATGGTTTTTCAGGATACGAAATGCAATAACCACAAAAGAAAAGAAAAGAAATGGATAAATAGATTCTATAAAAGCTGCTCATAAAAATGTAATTTTAAGAAAATAGTCAAGTCACAGGCTTGGAGAGGATAGTTGAATGTGTATGTATGTACCTCTGATAGAAGAGTTACTTCCAGCATACATAAAGAACTGATTGCCAATTTGAGGATAGCTGGGACCTTTTTCTTTGCTGGGTACAGCATAAAATGTTGCAGTTGTGCTTGGAAACATTGAGCGTTGTTTTCTGACCCAGGGATCTCTCTCTTGGTCACTTACTAAGTATGAAATCATCTACAGAACCATGTATCATAATCCTCATAGGAGCTTAAGGTAGGCAGAATGCTGCAGCCCCCAAAGATACACATGCCACATTCTCTGGAACTGTGATTATATTTTATGTTGATAGCAAAAGAAATTTTGCAAGTAGCATTAAGGTTGCAGACCTCGAATGGATTTTTTAAATAATAAAAATATGTCCCTTATTTATTCAATTTCATACAGGTACATAATAATGTGTTTTGATCATATTTATTCCTCATGACTCTTTCTTATTCCCTTCCCATTCTGTGTAATGAAAAGGTCATTTTAGGTTATCTGAGAAGGCTACTATATCCACGCAAAGATCTTTAAAGTAGTGTAGGAAAGCAGATGAGACAGAGATGGCAAGGAGGGGACAAGTTGTTAGCTCAGCAATGTAGTGGGCTACCTGCAAAGTCCAGTGGGAGGCATCCAGTGGCTTGGGGCATGTGGGCCTCGTTCATTAACAGCAAGAAATGAGGACTTCAGTCTATAGTAGAACACACCTGAATCCTGCCAGTCACCTGCCAGAACCAAACTGTTAAGGTTATTTTTATAAAACTGGGTTTGGTTCTCTCTTAACTTGGCTATCACACAAATAATTGAGACTCTTTAATATTATTTTAACAAGCTTCACAGCACAAGAACTGAGCAGTTTTAACTTTAAACCCTCTAAACTAATTTGGCTTCCTTCCAGCTTGTATCCCAGAGATAATTGCAGTTTGTTGAGCTTTCCTTGCTGAGCTTTCTTTCTGGTCCCTCCTATACATTTGCCTGTGGCTGAATCCCTTACTTCCTCCTCTAACTCCTCCTCCCATGGCTGGCAGGAAGTCCAGCCCTGTTCTTTCCCCTGCTAGTCGATTGGCTGTACTCTGCTTTCCTGGAATACCAGGGGACAATTGGGGAGCAATGTTTACACAACATGGAGACAGGAGATTTCTCAGAACAAGGCTTGTAGGCTCATAATCAGGTATTGGAGTTTACAGAAATAAGCATTTGAATTCCACAATAACCTTATGCCTACCAAACTGCCTCAACCCCACATGAGGCCAAAAATGGACTCCCTCAGAGCTTTCAGGAAGGAAGAACACTGGTTTCGGTCTTGTGTCACTGAGCAGAGACACAGCGAGGTGTCTGGAATCTGCATTCTATGTAGAGCCTGTTCTGGGTGGTATTTTGAATAATACCTTCTAGCTTTCTCACTAAAACTTCCGGTGACACATTAGTGATAGGCTTGTGCCTGTGGAGGAGGCCTGTTGGCCCACATCGCTTTTTGACCTTATATGCAAGTATTTCATAAAGGTGGGAGTGAGTCCTTCCTGCCAAATCTACTGCTTCTCCAGTATTTGTCTTGGTAATCTTTTTCTTTTGAACCTAGGATCCAAGGGAGATAGCTGGGACTCTCGATACCTGCCCATTCTCTCCCCTGCCACATTCAGTGGCTTGTTGGGCTTGGTTGGCTTTCATGGCCTACTCGCTTATGCTCTGTTTCACTGATCATTTTCAGAGTCACTACCTTAATTCCTTTTCTCCTTGATTATTGTTAACAGCCTCCATACTGGCTTTTTCTGTCTCTGTGTCTCCACCTTCCCATCTTACTATGTAGACCGGCCTGGCTGGCCCAGAACCCTCTATGTATCCCAGAGTAGCCTTAAACTCACAGAGATCCTCCTGCCTTTGCCTCCTGAGTGCTGGGATTAAAGGTGTGCACCACCACACCTGGCTTGTTTAAGCAAATCTGTTTAAAACAACCTAAAAATTGACAGTTACTGTTACTTAACATGGCATAGCTGACATCATCACGTGATAGAGTAAGTTCCGAATCTTGCTGTTGCTCCGACTTCTACACTCTTAGTAGAATGAGGTGACAAAGCCACTAAGAAGAGGAAACCTGAGAAGCACTCGCAGTTAGTCCTAATAGATGTTTGTAGACCACACTACCTGTTCTTTAAAAGTACATCCGGGGCAGTCCTTAAAATAGAGCCCATTCTGTGCCATAAGACAGACCCGAGCACAACATGAGAGAGTTGGACTTCTGCTCTTAACCACAGTGGAATTAAGCTAGGAGTAGCACAGGCGTCTGGAGAAAGCCAAAATATTTGATCATTACTCCCACTCTTTATGGGTGTAGCTGAGCTTTGATGGGAAGTCTTGAAGGACTATATTCCAGGAAACAGACTTGAAAATGTCTCCTTACGAGACCAAACAGTGTGGGACTTGGTTTTACCAGCAGCACATATAAATGGACATTAGAACTGTGTGTGTGTGGACGGACTTGAGAACATGCACAGTGGTGAGGTGTCACTATCAAACCTCCTTAATTGTTTTATTTAGTATTCACCCGGGCCGGGGGAGGGGTGGGCCATAGCAGCTGTGTGAAGGTAAGATGCGCGCAGGCGGCAGCTGATTCTGTTTCCACCGTGTGGCTCCTCAGGATTGAGCTCAGGCCAGCAAGCTCTGTGGCAGGCACCTTCGCCTTCACTGAATGACCTCCGTGGCTCCGTCGTCTTATTTTTTGAGACAAGGTTTCACACCAAACCCGAAGATCACCAAATTTGGCTTGACTTGCTGGTCCCCACCAAGGCCCTGGAGAACTGCTGTTGCTGCCCCAGGCTTGTAACATGCATGCTGGGGTCCAGACTCGGGTCCCCATGCTTTCCTTACAAGCATTTTACCGCTGAGCCATCTCTACTGCTTTGGAACTCTTAAGTCCATCTTCTGAGCGGACTTTTGAAGTATATTTGAAGCGGATATTTGAAGTATCTGCGATAGTCCAGTGGAGACATTTGGCGCTTACCATAGACCAGGGCACACAGGACTCTCACAGGAATCAGCCCCACAGATACGAGCTCTTGATCAGAGTTTATAAAGCCTGAGTCAAACCAACCACAGCAAAAGTGAGGCCCCAAAATAGAGTTCCAATGCCGAGACTTATTTATTAAAAGTGCTCAGGAGGCAGAGGCAAGTGGATCTCTGAGAGTTCAAGGCCAGCCTGGTCAACATAGTGAGTACCAGGACAGACAGGGCTATGTAGAGAGACCCTGTCTCAAAGAACAGAAGAAAGTTTATAAAATATAAAGGAATATAAAATATTTAGAAACTGTGTACCCTGGATTGCTGTAACACCATGAACCATCCCAAGGCCTACTGGCCTGCGCTGCCTTTTATTACTTAGCAGTTAGAAGATCCGTGGTGTCGACTGAGGCTGCTTAGGCTAGAGCTGCAGCGCTTGCCTGGCAGCTAGTTCTGGTTGTGGGCTGCATTAGTGGGGATTCTGCTCCTCTCTGTGGCTGTTAGGCCTTCATTTGTAAGGGCAGACTTGCATTATGTATGTAATACATATGTAATACATGCTTATGGTTTTTAGAAAAGAACATTTAAAAACATTAAATGTCCATGTTGGGATTCTGCTAAATAACTTGACTTTTCCTGATTTCCTCTGAATTACCACTCACAGTTGAACACAATGTAAAGAAGAAAGAAAGTGCCAGCAAGCTTTATTCTAGTAAGGGCTGGTTTGTTTTCAGGGGCGAAACCCTTAGTTGAGATTTTTTTCTCAGTCTTGAGTGATCTAACTGTAGTGGCCCAGTGTGATGGTGTCATGTCCTTAGGGTCAGAAGAAAAAGTTTTAAGTATACACTAAATTAACCTCGCTATCATTACTCTCCTACACAGGATGTCCCTTGGTGCCTACTGCGTCATCTGCTGCAGAAGAATAGGAACCTTAGCCACCCGCTCAAAAAGTCACACATCCTGGAGAAATATCCGTGAGTACACTTCAAGCACGCCATTTCCTAACAGGAAGAGTGACAAACACCCATACATACATATACATACACACGTGCACCTGTGCACGACAGAGCATGTTCTCCCTCACACAGACACACACACATACAGACACACTCAGGCATCCGCACATACAGGCACACATCCGGCCACACAGGCACATGTGTGTGCGCGCAGCACCTTTTTAATCCAGGGAATTCTGATTCTGAATTTTAAATATAAAAAGAAGCAGGAACCGTTGAGAAGGCTTTTCGCTCTCCTTCTCTGTATTTCCAGTATAGCAAACTTTAGAGTGTTGCATTTGCTTTTAGTGGAGGAAAAAAGGGAGGAAAGGCCATGCAGATTGAGAAGTACATTCTTGGAGGCTGGGGTGTAGTTCGGGAAGAGCATGTGCTTGACATGCACAGGCCCCTGTGATTGATCCCCAGCACTGAGAGGGACACCAAGAGTGTGGTGAGAAGCCACAGACAGCAGCAGGAGAGAAGAAAACAATGGGTGCTCCCTGGGTGTCCACGCTGAGGGCCAGAGAATATCAGAAGGCCATCTTGGAATCAGAACTGTCCCAGAGAGCCGTGCGGTCAGGAAGCTCTATGTAGTTCCTCTGCAGACCTCCTCATCCCTGCTGTAGGCCCATCCTGAAGGCCCGTGAGTTCGTGGGGCAGTGTCCCCCCTCCAGATTTCCATGAGTGTCAGATTTCAGTTTAGAACACGGGCAACCTTGTTGCTTAGCAGTCCAGGATTTGAAAATCTTGGAATGGTGTGCATTGGTTAGGCAACTATCTGCTAATTAGGTTTTAACAGTATATATTTAAAATGATTCCATTTTAGATGGAGCCATGTAACCTCTGCTGCTTAAACCACCAAGTACAGTATGGTTATTTTTTGGGGGTGGAGTCATTTTAGAGTTCCCACTTGACAATCCTGTAGTGTATATGCTGGGAAGTGTGCTGACCCCACCTGGCCTCTGGTGGCCACACTCCTCGGAAGGCCCTGACCCTGGCTATACAGCAGTAGCACAGGGTCATGCCTGGGTGCCTTTCTAGCTGAGGGTAGCAGAGCAGGAGCCTGAAGGATGAGTGTGGAGGCTGTAAGCATAAACCATGTTTACTCAGTGCTGCCACGTGTGGATAGCTGCTGGTAATAACTATATCATATTTGCCTATGTAACAGAAATGCAACTTTTGACCTAGTTATACACAAAAGGTTTTCGCTGCTGCCTGTTTCTTGTTATACTTTTAAAAATGAAATCATGGGCCTGGAGAGATGGCTCAGAGGTTAAGAGTACCCGCTGCTCTTTCAGAGGTCCTGAGTTCAATTCCCGGCAACCACATGGTAGCTCACAGCCATCTATAACGAGATCTGGTGCCCTCTGCTGGCGTGCAGGTGTACATGCAGACACAACATTGTATACATAATAAATAAATATTAAAAAAAATGAAATCACATTGACTTTTTTTTTTCTTTTTGAAGGAAATATAGTAAGATATACTGGATCCCTCATTTTAGGGTGAGTACTGATACCCTGCAATATCAGAGGCCTCATGATACTATTGTATGTTCGTGGCTGTTCTTTTGTGTTGCGGTTTTTCTCTTAACCTGGCTATCACCCAAATAATTGAAACTAGACTATTATGCTCATTTAACAAGCTTTATGGCCCAAGAACTGAGCAGTATTAATCTGTTTTAACCCTGTAAACTAATCTGGCATTCTCCCAGCATAAATCCCCAAGATGCTTGCATTTTTGGCTTTCTCTGATTCTGCTGCTCTCTCCTGACCTCTCCTCATGGCTGAATCTCCCCTTCCTCTGGCTGGCAGGTAATCCAGCCCTGTTCTTCTCCCTGCTCAGGCATTAGCTGTTAAGCTTTTTTTTTTTAATGTATCAGGAAACAATTGGGGAGCAATGTTTACACAACATTGAGACAGAAGATTCTCAGAACAAGGATCGCACCCAGATATGGGGGCACAGAAATCGGCATTTGAATCTCTCCACAGTACACGATAACCTCATGCCTACAACTGTTGAAAATCTTAACAAAAATGACTTGTAGATAGCACAGAGTAGCCATGGATGTGTAATGTCAGAAAGTTGAGCAGGCCTCTGTGGAGGAACGAATATTTGTACATCCGTGTGTGCACGCACACATACACGCACATATGTAGTATGTAATGACTCAAACTGAAAGTGTAGTAAGTGCTCATTTACAAGAGTAGATAAGTAAGTTGCAGGAAGTGTATTTCTGTCGTGAGGGAACTGTATGTACAGACAGTAGCATGGGTAAGTCACAGGGATGTAAGGCAGAACAGAAGAACATATCTAGCCTGAGTCCATTCACACTAAGCTTAAATTCTGGCCAAACAGCACTGTTGTTTAAGGATGTGCACCCAGGGTGGCAGACCCGTGATGAAAAACAATGGCATTATGAGTATTGCTCCTGACCAGCCATGAAAGAATGGGAGAGAATGCCCTGTGAACTTACTGTTCATCTTTTATTTCTTGCTCGGATATATTTACACAGCCATTTGCGTGTGTGTGTGTGTGTGTGTGTGTGTGTGTGTGTGTGTGTTTGTTTAGTTGGTTGGTTGGTTGGTTGGTTGTTTTTTTTAAGACAGGGTTTCTCTGTGTAGCCTTGGCTGTCCTGGAACTTGCTCTGTGTACCGTGCTGGCCTTGAACTCACAGAGATCCACCTGCCTTTGCCTCCTGAATGCTGGGATTGCAGGTGTGCACCACGGCACCAGGCTGAACTGCTCATCTTTTATTCTTGCTTGGATATAATCCATGCAACCATTTGCTGGGTTTTTTTGTGTTTTTGTTTTTTGTTGTTGTTGTCGTTTGGTTGTTTGATTTTTTGAGACAGTTTCTCTGTGTAGCCCTGGCTGTCCTGGAACTTGTTCTGTAGACCAGGCTGGCCTTGAACTCAGAGATCCACCTACCTCTGCCTCCAAAGTACAGGGATTAAAGGAATGTGCCACCACTGCCCGTCTCACTTGCTGTTATTGTAAACCGGGCGAATGTATGTATACACATACTACATTTGTGTGTATTCACACATGTAAAGTGACACCTGTGCATTACTTCATGCTAGTTCCCTAGTAAAATAGAAGGCAGTTCCCTGTGAAAAGCACTTGGCTCATATTTATATCCTGATTTGTGAGGAACTTTTTGTTTCTTTTTTAGGGGTTCTTTATATCTTACATACGAAGTCCTGGCCCTGAAGAAATCTTTAACGTTAGACACTGAGGTGGTGGAAAGAGAAAAAATGAAGTCTTACATCTATGTGCACACAGTTCCTGTAGACAAGTTAGAAAACCGCGGTAAGTCCCTATTTCTAAAGTGGAAGCAGTTGTTGAATTTAGAAGTGGGTCTGAATTTAGAGCACAGAGCTGACAAGCAGGCTCAGCCTTCTGGAAGAGTCAGCAGAGCTTGTGTGAGCCGGGATCCCCAGTGTCTTGGTCACTGTTCTATTGCAGGGAAGAGACACCACAACCAAGACAACACTTAGAAAAGGAAGCATTTAACTGGGGGCCTGCCTACAGTTTCAGAGGCTTCGTCCATGATCAGCATGGCGAGGAGATGGCAGCATGCATGCACGTGCTGGAGCAGCAGCTGAGAGCCACATCGTGATCTGTAGACAGGCAGAGAGACAGCCAGGCGCGAGCTTTTAGAAGTGGCACGCTTCCTCCACCGAGACCACACCCCCAGCAAGGCCACGCCTCCTAATCCTTCCAATCTAGCAAAGAGTTCCACTCCTTTGTGACCAAATATTCAACTCTGTGAGCCTATGGGGGCCATCTTAATCAAACCACCACACCACGCATTAACTGATGACCAGAATTGGGACTTCTGTGTTTCCTCAAGTCTTTAGCTCTGTTAGAACAAAGTACAGACTGGGCAGTGCCCTTGTATCCAACCCTGGGTTCCTTCTTCGGTGGGGGCTATCAGTTCAGTTTTCCAAGTGCAAATGATTGATTTTGCATTCAGCTCAGAGTCCATCAGGCTGAAGGAAGTGACTCATGTAACTAAGCTCAAAACACAGCTTGAGGAATGTGAATTCAGCTTATTTATTGCTGCCGTCTGTTAGGAAGGCTGAGCTATGCGAGTTAGGACATCCCCTCCGTGATGCTGAGGTTGCATGCAGGCCTCTTGGTGACTCAGTAGAGGTGAGATTTTAGCTTAGAGAAGGGTCTTTTCCTCAGCCCCCACCTTCCCCTGCCTTGCAGCTGTTCTAGGATGTCAGCCCTTATGACCAGCAGAGGGGGTGGGCCCCAGGCTCCTTCTGAACTTTGTGTTATCACATCACCATTTTATTGCGTTACCTCCTTGAACTTCAGCATCCATTAGGGCTACTTACAGTTTCAGTTACGTAGATTGTTACTGTGTCTTATAGTTACCTGTCTCGTGAGGCTCAACCTCATTCCTAAAGCATTTTTCAAGTTCTGTTCTAAGTTAGCTGTTTACAGGAACATTCTCCTGAATATTGCTCAGCTTTTGTAATTCATGAGGATTGCTATAGATACTGTTTCTTTGCCCTTGACTTTGTTCTGGAGGCCAAAGCATTCTGTGTTCCCACAATAGATGCTTGCATTTAATAGTGACAATAAGAGGTCAAAGGTGCTTTTTTGTTTTTGTTTTTGTTTTTTATGTCTTTATGATTACCTTTGGAGCCTGGTTTAAGTATTTCTTTTTGAAATATTGGAGCATGATATTAAAAGTACACACTTGGTCTTATTTGCTGCCATCGTTTTAGGGCTTGTTTGGCAGGCAAGAAAAGAACTTCACAAAGCAGTAAGGACAGTGTTGGCAGCATCAGCCAAGGCACTACGGAGCCCATTTGCTGGTACGTGTGGACACTTGGGTCCTCATCAGTGGTCTGAAAATTGTGTGGACAACCAAGCAAGACTGAAAGCATTCTTACTCTCACATTTTATTAACTATAGGAAACTGGCTGAGGAACATCCTCTTGACTGCATTTAATTTCACAGCTTAAGGGGTTTGGACAGTTTTCTTCCATTTTTGTGCCTATAATGTTAAGCTACTTAAGTAACTGCTGAGAATGAATATTCTTTTATAAAATATTTAGAATTTAAAATTTGTAAGAAAATCACTCCATGCTTTTTCATACTGAGAATATTGCTTCAAAAATGTAAAATTTATTTTTATAATCATCAAATCTCCAATTTGCAGTTACCTCTAAAATGCTGTCCTGCCAGGCATGGTGGCACATGCCTTTTGGTCCTGACTTGTGAGAGGCAGAGGCAGGGAGGGCTCTAAGCTCAAGGCCAGCCAGGTCCACAGAGTGAGTTTCAGGACAGTCAGGGATACACAGAGAAACCCTGTCTCGAAAAACCATAATAATAATAATAATAATAATAATAATAATAATAATAATAATAATAATAAATGAAATGCTGTCCTGACAAAGTTGACATCATGAAGAATAGGCAGGAGAACTTTCTAGAATTTCTTTAGAGAGACTAAAGAGAACTTATCAAATCCTGCTTTTAAACCATCTTTAGAGACATTTTATAGTGAATATTTGAATGTGGAGTGTGCTGGATTTTAGATTTTTGTGACTGCTCTTGGATGTGATAATAACATCATGATTACATGAGAGAAATTTGTTCTTTTTGTTAGTTTTTGTTTTGAGGCAGGGTCTCTCTACATAGCACTGGGTGTCCTAGAACTCACTATGAGACCAAGCTGGCCTCAAACTCACAGAAATCTACCTGCTTCTTCAGCCTGCATGCAGATTAAAGGATTAAAGCTGTGCAGCACCACACCCAGCAATAAAATTGTTCTTAGGAAATGCAAATTGAACCTGACAGAGTAAAAAGTCATTTCTGCATAAGGTGGCTTGCCTAAATGCGTATGACTCATGGACGTTAGGAGTTCTTTTTGTATTGAATCTACCTCAAGAAAAAAAATTTAGTGGAAAAAAGAAAAAAAATGACCGTATAATAAAAGACAACAGAATAACAAACAAAAGTACACATACAGTACCTACAAATATAAAGACATATCACAGAGCTAAGCTCAAACACTTGGTCGTCGTCTGTATCTGCATTCAATGCTCCCATTGCAGTTTCCAGCGATTTACAAGTTACCATCTAATACAGCAGTGCATATGGAGAGATGGCTCAAGTCCTTGCCCTTCGTGTGTGAGGATCTGACTTTAGATAACCGAGAGCCTACAGAAAAAGGCAGTGATTGCAGCCTGCGCCTGTAACCTCAGTGCTTGGGAAACAGAGACAGGAGGAGCGATGGGGCTTGCTGGCCAGCCAGCCCAGCAGGTTAGCAAGCTGCTTTAGTGAGCGGCTGTGACCCGGAAATATTAATGTGTGTAGTGTATGTGCCACACATACACACAAATGTCTTCACTGTTTATACTGCCATGTCTTTCTGTGTGTTTGTCGTATGCTTTCTTCAAAGACCCCTTCTGCACAGTAGACATAGAAGAACACGACTGTGCCGTGTGGCTGCTCCTCAGGAAGAGCCAGGAGGACGACAGAGCCGCGCGGCTGGAGGCTGTGCGCGAAATGTCAGAGGCTCACCATTGGCATGGTAACGAGGCCCACGGCTGGTGGATACCCACCGCTCGTTTTCTGCTGTGCGAGAGAAGGGCTATGAAGTTAAGGGAGGAAAAAGATTCAGGCAGTCTAATATGAAAACAGACACACACTCGCACACATACACACACTCAAACCATTTGAGAAAAGCTCTTAGGATAAACTGGAAAACCTGCTGATCTGGAGGTGCAGGTGTTTGAGAAGAGCAACCCCAAACTGAGGCATATTCTACCAGAACAAGATTCCATTATTTAACTGAGAGAAACTCCTGATTCTGAGTTACCAGTTTTCACATTTGATTTTGTTTATTTGTGGGTTTTTCTTGTTGTTTTGTTTGTCTTGAGACAGAGTTTCTCTGTGTAGCCCTGAATATCCTGTGACTATTCTGGAATGTTGTAGACCAGGCTGGCCTCAAACTCACTGCCTCCTGAGTGCTGGGGTTAAAGGCGTGTACCACTGTCACCCGGCTTTGAATTTCAGATTTTTAAAAAAGCTACTCAGAACATGACCTGGAATGTCGAGGAAAGTTGTGAGGTTGGTGGCAGCTGAGCCAGCTGGGCATTGAGTCCCCTGGCTGTGTGATTGCTGGAAACTGTGAGCCACATTGGGTGTTGAGCTCCCAAGTACTGTGGGTACAATGGGAAATTTGAGGTTATAAAGTTATAGCACAATGAAGAATTAGGGCGCTTTCAAGTAGCTGTTTATTTACTCTTGGGATAACTTCAAGTTAATCATGATGTTAACACAAACTATATTTTCACAACAGACTACCAGTACAGGATAATTGCTCAAGCCTGTGACCCGAGGACCCTTATTGGTTTGGCACGAAGCAAAGAAAGTGATCTTCGCTTTTTCCTCCCACCCCCTCCTTTGCCGTCTTTAAAAGAAGTAAGCAACCATAGTAATAAGGGAGTGGAAAGGGTTTTTTTGGTTTTTTCGAGGCAGGGTTTCTCTGTCTCACCTTGGCTGTCCTGGGCTCCCTTTGTAGACCAGGCTGGCTGCGAACAGAGATCCTCCTGCCCCTGCCTCCCTGAGTGCTAGCATTACAGATATGTACCACTGCGCCTTGCTGGGAGTGGGAAAGTTTAACTTGTGTTCAGATAAACTAGTGTGGGTGCAGACAAACTTCCCCAGACAAGCTGGTGCCTGCTTCTAAAGAACAGTGGGGCTGAGTGCAAAGCTGAAGTCTGTGTCCTCAGTGCTCTGGTCCTCAGAGTGCTGTTCTCTGCCCTTTACTCCCTTGGTGGCTGGAGAGAGTCTGTTCTGCTAGGTAATGCCACGGCATGCCAGCATGCGGGAGAAGGTCCCGGGTACTAAGGGCTTTTGGTTGTTGGTGGTGGTACTGTTATGTTTTGTTTTAATGATGTCGGTGTGCCTGGAATTGGGTATGGGCATGTGAGTCCAAGTGTCTAGTCCAAGGGTCAGAGGCAGGCAACACATCTGAGCAGCTAAGTTACAGGTGGTTGGAAGCCACCAGACATGAGTGCTGGGAACTAAACTTGGGTCCCCTGCAAAAGCAATTCATGCTCTTAACTGCTGAGTCATCTCTCCAGCCTGCCTTGTTGTTTTATACATGAGATTTTTCTCAGCCTGAACACTCTTGACATCTTTGATCAAATATCTATCTATCTATCTATCTATCTATCTATCTATCTATCTATCTAT